TCTGCGACGAGCTCTCAAGCTCACTTTTGTCAAGCCCAACCTTCCGAGTAACCGGTTCGGAGCTCCTGGTACTGTTTTCTATTTCATCTGAAGAGATAGATTGCTTTGCTCGGTCCTCTTGCCTCCTGATGATTTTGAAATGGTCATTCGCTTTTCGTTTTCTTGCGCGGATTTTATTTGGAGTCGTGTTCGATCCTTTTTGGATGCAACTTTGCCATGCTCAGTGGTTATCATTTGACAAGTTTTCTTGATCCCAATCAACACAAACTTACAATGCGTGTTTCTCTATCCTGAATTGTTTTGTTTCCCAGAGGTTTTGGACAGATTTAGCCGATGCAACCTGACAAAGGAGTATAGTGGCAAGAAAATCGGGTGGGTTGACCCGAGTCAAAGGAAGTACATTGCCAGGGAGGAGAAATGTGATGTGTTTTCTGGGAAATGGGTCTTTGATAATTCATCGTACCCGTTGCACAAGGAATCCGAGTGTCCGTACATGTCGGACCAGTTGGCATGCCAAAAGCATGGGAGATCAGATTTAGATTACCAGCACTGGAGATGGCAGCCTCATGCCTGCAACTTAAAGAGGTAATTCTGTTACTATTATCCACATCTTTTACCTCGTATGATTTTGTGTTGTAGCTACAGCTTAAAATTGGCAATCTAATCATACAACTATATCAGTTTTCAAGCTTCGGGCCTTATTGTTCGTTTAGGTTTAGTTGCTGCAGATCAAAGTTACCCCCTTAGGGAATAGAGAAGGCTGTGGACATGAGAAACATGGAATAGTTTCTTGTTTGCTATGATGATTTGACATAGCAGCATTGAGAATTTGAAGAGCTTTTTGTGTGAGAGTAGTAATGGCGTAATATCGGTTTGGTAGATGGAATGCGACAGAGATGTGGGAAAAGCTGAGAGGGAAGAGATTGATGTTTGTTGGAGACTCGCTGAACAGAGGCCAATGGATATCAATGGTTTGTCTGTTGCAGTCTGTGATTCCACCTGAGAAACAGTCCATGTCTCCCAATGCTCCTCTCACCATTTTCAGGGCGGAGGTATGGCGCTGGAAAGTTACAGTTTATCAGGTTCTTTTGATTGATAAGTGGATTTTGAGTAGATGCAGCTCGGTTTCTAATTGTCGCTGAAGGTAGTTTTTTTTTTTAACTTTTCTTTTTGTATCAACAATCCCATGATTGCAGTTCCGTTTTGAGCAGATGGATCCCTAGGGATTCAAGCTTTCCTAACTAAGTTAATGTATGATTTTTTTCTCTATTTTCAGAAAAGAGTATTGGTTTTCTTCTTTTGGGGATTAAATCTGTTTCGTTTTATTGGTTTTCTATCAACAATAATTTTTTAAAGTATTCTCTCATATTTTTTATACCGTGTTACCAATTTCAGAATCAACGATTTCCTGGCTTTCCAGTCCAACTCCTGCTAAATCATAATTTGAATTGTAGCTCAACCTTCTGAAGAACTCTGTTAACTGAGAATTGATTAATACACCCTGACAAGTGATTGCAAAGAACTTTTTATTCGGATTTGGTGACTGAAATTCTATCTTTGTTGAGATGATTACTGAGCCCGGCCTTTTTTTTTTCTTAATCTATTTTTATATGTTTTTTATTACTATGGCATATGTAGAACTTCAATGCCACGGTGGAATTTCTCTGGGCTCCGCTGCTTGTGGAATCGAATTCAGATGACCCTGTAAATCACAGACTGCCCGAGCGGATAATCCGGCCAGATTCAGTTCTTAAGCATTCGTCGCAGTGGCAGCATGCTGACATCCTAGTCTTCAACACCTACTTGTGGTGGAGGCAAGGTCCTGTCAAGATTCAGTAAGTATGATACCGTTTCTTAGTTGCAAATTACACCTTTTGGGCATATTGTGTTCACACTTTCAATACTCGATTTGATGCCACTATTCTAATCACAGATGGAGCAGTGAAGAAAATGGGTCATGCGAAGAGGTGGGCGGGCTTGAGGGCATGGAGATGGCAATGAGTGCTTGGGCAGATTGGGTGGCCAACAATGTTGATCCTCTCAAACAACGTGTTTTCTTCGTTACCATGTCTCCAACACATCTCTGGTAACAACTCTGACTTTATATAATGCATCTCCATCAAATGTATTAGATTTCAATGATTAAAAATGGGATTCAGATTTCGATGTTGCAAACTGTTGTTAATTAAAGGGTTCAGTGATTGGATTGCTTGTAGTTGAAGTTTATTGTTTAGATCTCTCGATCTACGCATCAGGCTTCAATTACAGGCATCTCACTTCCACTTTCAGACCATAAATACTATTTAAGAACCAAATTCTTGAGAAGTTTTTTATTCAAGCACAAAACTGAGATCAAACGAAAGGTTTGTATTTACAGCTGCAGTTGTTGCTTTCTCAAGTTTTCAGCATTTGAAATGCTTGAGATTGAAGTTTAGTGATATAAGGGCAATGCGTCCTTTGTGATTTCATCATGTAGTTTTTCAAAGGGTCTCCGAAAGTTCGGCACTTGAAGTTCATAAACCGTGACGAACTTTAACCCCTTTTCCATATGTATAAATAATTGGATGGCTTATGAACGCATATGATATGGATATGAGCAGGAGCCGAGAGTGGAAGGCAGAGAGCGAGGGGAACTGCTACGGAGAGAAGACTCCGATCGAGAAAGAGGGTTACTGGGGAAGTGGGTCGGACATTCCGACGATGAGGATGGTGGAGAGAATGATGAAGAGGTTGGGACCAAAGGTGACAGTTGTGAACATAACGCAGTTGTCGGAATACAGGAAAGACGGCCATCCCTCTGTCTACCGGAAATTCTGGGAGCCACTGAGCTCGGAGCGGCTGAAGAATCCGTCCTCTTTCTCAGATTGCATCCACTGGTGTTTGCCAGGGGTCCCTGATGTCTGGAACCAGCTCCTCTTCCATTTCTTAGTTTCAGACACTGTCATGCATTTGTAGTAATGTGGTAAATGTCGATTCCTTGTTGGCGAATCTCATTTTTTTTTTGTGAGGAGGTCGACAGACATGAATTTAACAATGTCAGAGAAAAAAAAAGCTCAGGAGATACAAATATATAAAAATTATTACCAGATTGTCTTTTTAAATTTAGGTTTTGATGTTTTTTAAGCCAAGGATTTGGTGAAATGATCAGTTTATATATGGGCCAACAAAAAAAAATACAATTATAATTGTTCGATCCTTGATAATAAACTTTATTTCGATACTTAAAATGAGCTATTGATTTTGAAAAGAAATAAGAATGCATTTCTGTTTAGTAAAAAAAAAAAAAAGCCGTTGCGAAATGTCATGCGATTTGGTGTAACGGAAGCTTTGAGGCTCCCACGCGCCTTGAATCTTATAAAAATGTATTTTGGTGAAAAACCGCAAAAACCGCTGGATTATAACCTAGCGATTTTTGCAACACGCGCTCAACGCGCTACGTCCGCGCGTGGGATTTACCAGCACAATTGGAGATGCGTTCTCTAACGCGCGGTGCGTGCAACTGGGCTTCTTCACGTGGGCCTTCATTTTAACATTAGGCCCATATCTGGTATGGCAGCAGGTCCATATGTAGATAATTTTTTTCTTCTCAATTTTAATAGAGGTAATATAATCAGACGAAAGAAACAAATTGTACGGTTATATAAATTTTATAATTATATAAAATTATACCGTTTATAAAATACCAAGCCATATAATTTACATTTTTTCCAGCTCCATTTCCAGTTTTTTATTTAATGCTAGATTTCTAAGTTATTATTATTATTCATTTTTTTCCATTTGTTCACATTATTTTTTTTAAAAAAATTCTTCTTTCTGTTCCTGTTTTGAATAATATAAAACCGTAATATTTTTTTACAAAACACGTGGCGAAGCGTGAGAAAATAGAGCGCACATGTTGCGACATAAGTTTTTCAAGTGTACCATCGTATGAGTAGCGGTTGGCGGTTCGGTTCTTAGTAACGGAACCATATCGAATCGAAAATTTTGGTTTATAAAATTTTTAAAAAACCAAATTTAAAAAAACTATTTTTTACAAAAACCGAAACCCAATAATATATGATACTATTTGTACCAAATAAATCATTTCTGAACCGATTCTTGAAACATCCACCCTACTAGATTAATATAGGGACGTCAAAACGAGCCGAACTCGCGAGCCAGCTCGAGGTTGGCTTCTTTTTTACCGAGCTGAACTAAGAATATCTGAACCCGAATAAAAAACGGGCTGAGTGAGCTAGCTCGCCACGAGCCGAGCCCAAACGAGCTAGCTCGGTCAGTCCGCGAACTGGCTTAAAAGAAATTAGAGTTTTCTACGTTGAAACTTGAAAGTGTTGATATTGATTGATATGATATTTTGATTTGGAGATAATTTTTTTTACATGATTAGGATTTGAAGATGATTTTTTATACATGGATTAAGATCTGATTATACATCGATAGATTAGAAACCGAAGATGATTTTTTGTACATAGATACATTACGATCTGAGCTATTTGGAGATGATTTTTTATACATGGATTGTGATTGTGAATATGGTTTTGTATAATTTGATATGATTTTTTTAGGTATTTAGAAAAATATGATATCGGTTCGCAAGTTAAGCGACTTGGGTTGAGACAGAAATTTTCTGATCCGAATAAAAACGGATTTAACGACATGGACTGAAAATGAACTGGCTGAGAACGAGGTGGTCCGATATGATCCGATGGCTTGTTTGACATCCTAGGCTCGTGGTGAGTAATTCTTGTTAGAAAACATCACCCAACCAAATTGAAAAAATCTTTGCGACGTCGTTTCGGTGGAGTCGAAGAATCCAGCCACACACGCACCACAATCACGTAAGCAAAAACCAATATTCAGTTGTGCTGCAAGAAAAACACTGAAAAACATGCCTTCACTTTCACTTCTCGTACATGACAATGAATGGACACTGCATCATCATCATCATCGTCAAAAGAGAACAGAGAGCTAAAATGAAGGGGGACCAAACTGCTCTTCCCTCTCAGCAAAAGACGCTGGCACATCTCAAGAAAAGAGGAAGAGACTGCCTCCATTTCACGAATATAAGAACGACCCAGCAGGGAAAGCCCGCAAAATGACACAATGACAATACTTGATAGTTGATATATATATATATATAGAGACGAGATGGTACAGAAACTAACGGTCTGACCGCCGCACCGCAAATGCAAAGCCATCATCTTCCAAGATTATTTATCATAATACATCACTGCTGCTGCTGCTACATCATCTCCCTGGCTGCACTGACTCATCTTGGAATGTTGAAGATTCTACATTTGGACAAATCCCAGGTCTTCAGAACTTCTACAGGATAGCAGAAGATGTTAGGGAGAAGCCACTCTCACCATAATGCATTTTATACTATCAGAACCCACGCAAAAAAAAAAAAAAAAAAAAAAAAAAACAGGACTATGATTATGTTATTCATTTAAAACTCAAACTATGCATTCCCATGAACCATAACCATCATTTTCTTCCCTAAACATTTGAACATCTTAGGCTCCCCCCACCAAGCTAGCAGTCATATGCGACAGAGAAAAGACATCTAAACCAAACCACAGTGACATAAGCCTAATAACATCACATCTCCCTGGCTACAATTGCGCTTTTAATAGTTCTGCCCAAGCCTTGTTTCCCTATCCTTCAGTAGCTACAAATTCTCTGCAGATATCTACTTCATTTCATAGTCCTACATGAATGATGAACGCACTACCTACCTTCAACTTCAAGTATCCAAGTCCAGTGACATATGATTGATAGAACTTAGGTACAAACCAATCCCAGTTCAGAATTGTCTAGCCATGGAAGAGAAAGAGAAACTCAACTACATTTCACACAATCAACTCAACATGGCCCCAAAAACTTCATTTCATTAAGATCTTAATAGTGAAAAACTCAGGTGCATGAAACAAATCTCTCTCTGTTAATTGGGTAGCTTGTCTGAACGATATGTCAATCATGTTATGTTTTCAGTGAGGCTTTGTAGATTATGATGTCAACGTAGGTTTCAAAATACATTCATGCTCATAAACAAACAATGACCTTTGGTAAAAAAAATGCTAGTGGAAAACAAGAATTACCTGATGATAGCACCAACAAAAGGGGGGGGGGGGGGAACAAAACCAATTTCATTGCTCGATTCTGGAAACCCTGTATCTCAACTTCCGATTCTCATTGTCCTGCAATAACAACATAATATGTCATATAAACAAATTCCTCGGTCCACTCTCAGATATCATAGCACAAAAACGGCCTTCCAAGTATCAAAAGAGAAGTACACTATCTGCAATATTCTAGACATTGAATAACCAAACATTCCCAGTTGATTTCTCATCTTTAAGAGATGTTCTACCTGCTCAAATACCCTGGTCGAGCTTTTCTCAACAAGGGAAGCTAAGCTCTCGATCTTAGCAAGCATCCTCTCGTACAATTCTTCCAATCCGCCTGTGTAATTAGAAGCTTCAGCTCCCATCATACGTCTCAAATTTCCCACCTGAAACCCTTCTGCTAAAGCATCGATTTCCTTCTGAGCCTTAGCCGCATGCTTCTTCGCACTTAACGTCCCTTCATCCTGGTCCTCGCTCATGGGCGAACTCCTCAGCTCGCAGTTCAGAAGCGGAAATGCCGAATTCGGGCTAAAAGTACCGTAATGTCCGCGGAAGGCCGGCCCGATGTTGACTATACCGATCGATCTCGGCTCGAACCGCTGATTCGAAGAGCAGAATTGGTAGGCGCGGTACTCGTGCGTGTGGATGAACTGGTCAGACGGCGGCGTAGTGAAGAGGAAGAAAACGCACGAGGCTATGTTTGCGGGGCTAGGGTTTTGCGAGTCCTCGATCGGGTGGGAATGTTGAGAAGAAAGAGATGACGTCACAGAAAATTCACGCATCGAGGGGCGGTTAGCGGTTTTCCGGCGAGCGGAGAACCAGCCGAGTATATGACCCGGCGCACCGACTCGGAGAGAGTCGATCCGGCGCGGATCAACTCGGCCAAGCGGATCATAGAAGGAGACGCTCATACCAGAACATATAAAACTTGTGACGGTGGCGACTAATTGAGAAGACGAAACGGCGGAGGAGGAACCCGATGCGAACGGTTCCGCCGGCGAGTCGTCGGAGAGATTAGAGGGGACGATGCGACTGACGTTTCCGAAGATTAAGCCGTCGACATCGCCGGGGAAGGAGGAGAGCCGTTGGATCAGTGAGGCCAATGTGGGACCAGAAATCGCGATTCTATCGAGAGGGAGGTCGTCCATGGCGAGAAACCAACTCGACGCAGTGAAGAAAAACCTAAGCAGTAAAATCACTCCGCAACTGAATGCCGGCGAATAATCTTTGGGCCCCACATTAGAACTGATATAATATTACCAGTCTGGACATTTAAGGCCTTACAAGTTTGGGCCTAATAGAAATGCCCATTTAAATTGGGCCTAACAATAGAGCCCATCCCAACGTCATGGCCATATGTTTTTTACCAAAGCGCGCTCACTTTATTATGCTCGTGGATTCTCCGTACTGCGATTTCTCCGACAGCGGTTGAAGTCAAAGAGGAGAGGGACGTTTATTCGTTCCCGCCGATTCGTGGAGAGTGCTTCGTCAATGGAGGAAGATGCCATAATATTCACTGAAACAGCCTCTTACCAAACCCTAGTCTCCATCAGAGCACTCATAATCAACCCACACACTTCCGACTCCGTAATATCGTCGGTGTTCGAATTCCTGACTCGTCTTCTTTCGCTCGGCGGCGACTCTGCGGTTGTCCGCCACGTCCTCAAGCTCCTCTCCGACCTCGCTTCCCGGCGCCAAGACTTCGCCCCTAGGGTCTTCGACTCCGTCCGTTCCAACTTGCTCCGCCTCCCAACCGCTGAGTCGCTCTCCGTGCTCGTGTCGATATCGGAGAGGATCCCTTCCCTCGGCCCGGCACTTTCCGAGATCGATGGCGAGGTGTTTGCGTCGATATGCCTCGGACAACAGCCTGTCTCCGATCGTTTGTGGCTGGGGAGAAACGCGGAGAGATTCAATGTGCCGTCGTCTCTGCTTTTGACCATGTTTCTAGGGTTTACCAAGGACCCATATCCGTTAATCAGGAAAGCAGCTCTAGACGGACTGGCTAACCTATGTAAGACTGGTGATATCGATCAAGGTCATGCCGTCGAAGGTTGCTATTCCCGTGCCACGGAGCTTCTGGGCGACGCAGAAGATAGCGTCAGGGCTTCTGCAGTTTGCGCTGTAAGCTGCTGATGGATGAACTTTTTTCTGCAGAAGGATTGTTACAAGCAGAAGTCGAATCATCTCTAATTGGTTTTTGGCAATTGTTTGAGTGCTCAGGTAGCCGAGTGGGGAAAACTGTTGATAGCATCCAAGGAAGAGATTGACAGAAGTGGGTGCACAGATGCTGTGGTTCTCCAGGTATGCAGCTCTCTATGGTTCATCCAACATGTAATTATCATTGTTCTAATGAGTTTCCGACAGAATGTGGGCATCATTCATAAACCAAACATATGTATGTTTGGAATGTGGGCATCATTCATAAACAAGTGGACGATAGAGATGTCCTCCAACTGAGTCACAGCCAGAGAAGATATTTTGCATTAGAATAGTCTGTTTGATGAAATCTACCCATTGAATCCACACTGATAGAAACAGATTCTAGTGACATTGACAGTTGCTTAAGGGTAGCTTGAGAGTACGGGATAGAGTTTTGATGATACCTGCAAAGGAAAATTGAGTAGCATGTAACTTTGTCTGCAGTGAAGTCTTTGCATGACTGAACTCAAGAAAAGCAATGTATTGTAACTACGTCTCACATTGGCTTATCTGTTCCATTGTCCTGCTCTCAGCTTTGCTCTATGATAAGAGATATGAGTGTAGAAGTGAGAACTGAGGCCTTTAAAGCGCTCGGAAAGATAGGAACTGCATCTGAAGGTGTCTTACTACAAACACTGTCTAAGAAAGTCCTCGGAGGCTCAAAACAGAAGAAACCACAAAATCATGGCTCCAATGAATTGCCTGAAGCCAGTGTTGCTGGTGCCGCTGGAGTTTTTATCCATGGTCTTGAAGACGAATTTTACGAGGTACCTGAGGCTACTTTTCTGTCCCATAAATGAAACGAAGTTCACTTGCATGCTTCTTAATTATGATACTTTGAGCTCACTCTGCAGGTACGAGAAGCAGCAGTTGAATCTTTGTGCTCCCTCTCGGTTCATTCTATCAAATTTTCCACTGAAGCTATGAACCGATTGATGGATATGCTATATGATGATAATATGGCTGTCAGATTAAAAACTTTAGAGACAATGCATCATATGGCAAATTTTGGCAAACTGGAGATGCACAACACTTACGTGACCGCTGTAAGTCTTCACCTACTCTTACCCTTCGGCTATTGTCATTGACCTGGCAGAGTTTAATAGGATGCAGATACAATACTTATGATGCTTTACATGCATGCATGATTTCTTTTTCCTTTTCCAAAAAACCATTGTATTGAAGTATTTATTGTTGCTTGATTTATGTAATCCAAGCAAAACTCTTTCTGCACATACAATGTATATTATAGGTCTTTGGCTGTGGTTCCAAGCAACTGTTTGCACTTAATGGAAATGGTAATTGGCCCCAGATCAAATATCTTATGAGACATCATTCCACATAACGGAGTAAACTCATGGTTTGCTTTTAGATTGGTGCTGTTTAGGTCTAGTTGAGTAATTTCTTTGCTAGAAGCTGATTTAGAAGGAACTATGTTTTTTACTTTGCAGTTTCTAGATGCTGTTGTTGATAGCTTTGAGAATATAAGATCTGTAGCAAGAAAAGTTCTCAAACTGGTAAAGCTACCTGATACTAAGCTGTTCAAACAATGCATTGAAGGCATCCTCAAAAGTTTAGAGATGTATCCACAGGTCAGTAGCTTTTCTGCTATTCCTCATGTTAGACTCAAGAGTATAAGGCCGATTAGCTTCTGGCTTTTCCATCAAGTCTTTTTTTTCTTATCCATTCTGAACCTCACTTTCCTTGCCGTTCCATTCTAGGACGAACCTGATGTCCTCTCTGCTCTGTTCCATATGGGTCAAAACCATGCAAATTTCTCAGCCAATGTGGTCAAGATAGTTAGTCAAGAAGTAAGCGAAACGAGTATTTCAATCTCTTCATGAAACTGATTGTTATAATAAGCATTGCTTTGCTAACCATTATTATTACTTCACGTAATCATTTGCTTCAGTTGGAAGCAGCTTCTTCAAATAAATCTGAATTCAGCGGCAGACGGGTAGCTGCTTTTCTGGTGCTGGGTATCTCGGCACCCCTCTCAAACAAAAAGAGCATCACTTCCATGTCGCCTCAGATATTTTCTTATTCTTTCGCAATGTTGGGGAGGTTTTCTCATGCACTCAGTGATGTGATGGACCAAGATACGCTTCTGGCTTACTTATCCCGGTGCAATCTTCTTTCTGGTTCTTCTGGAGCAGAGTTCGACAAAAAAGATATCTTCTTTCATGTGTATAAGCAGAATAATGCATATCTTTCGAGAAAGCCCTCCCTACTAACAAAGAATGATGCACCTGAGAGTGAAAGTGCGGCTTCAATATCACAAACGAAAGCGGAGAATTCAGATCCGGCAGTGAAGTCTATAAACCTTATTCTGTCAAAAATCAAGGTTGCGTGGTCTATATCACAGTCAGGATGCACGAACGAAGCACTCCGAGCATTGAGGTTATGCTGTCTGTTATCTATTGAATTTTCCGCTGTCAAGTAAACATTCTGTATCTTTCTTTTCCCCAGCATTTTTCTCATTTTTTATCCTTCTCCAGGGCATGCAAACGGGAGGTTTCCACTTTTACAACTGAATCTGCAGACTCTGCCAGTGTATTAGAATTTCTGCGTCAGTATATCACGGCGTTAAAACTTCTCATTAGGGTGTGGCCTTACTTTGAACACTCGAGAACACTTGGCCTGTGTAACTCTGTGAAAACAGAACTCCTGATGGGAAAACTGGAGGCAAAGCTGATGGAGATAATGTGTAGATCCGTAGACCTGTCTCCAACAGAGGAGTCACATGTCATGGAGCTCGTGATACTTTGTCACTTGCTAAAACTCTCTAAACTAGAGATCTGCTGCAGCCTGAGCACCATGGAAAAACTCTCTTCAGCAGTGGCTCGTTTAGAACTCCTACATGAACAGCAGGGCACCATACCATCAGATTTTCTCATTGAAACTACAAAGGCATTGAAAGGGATTGGCAGCTTTGGTGATGTAAGGGCGCTTGGTTTGAACAAGTTAATCAATTTCTTCTCCCTTGAGCAGATGACCATTTCGGGTGATCTCAGGTGGGTCAGTGCAGAACTGGAGGTTCCTGGTAATAGTCCTTACAATCCGATATCATTTGTGAATGGAATACCGGTGGCTATACCATGTGAGATCACTTTGCGAAACGTGTCAAGCGAGAGGCGGTTGTGGCTTAGGATAAGCAGAGGAGATGAGACCGCACAGTTTGTGTTCTTGGATCCGAGACTCTACAAGGGCGGTAATGGTAAGGAGGACAAAAGATTCAAGTATAGTGCAGTGGTTTATGGAAGCCCGAGGGCAGCGTGTTTGAAGCTGAGGATCTCTGTGGGGATGGAATCTGTTCCTGAAGAAGACGTATGTTTAGCGGAAAGGGGTCATAAACATCATCATCTGTCCTATCTGTGTAGTGAAAGAGAAGTCCACCTCTCTCTCGTTTCCAGAACGTGAGACCCTTAATAGAGTTTATATTATGATTGGCGTTCTGTTCTGACACCACCGGTTGCGAGTGAAATGCATCACCTCTGTTTTAAGTTACCATGCGAGAAGCATTGGATTCACCTTCCGGATGATCGAGGCCTCTCCATATTCCTGGAAGGGGGATGATGATGATGATGACAATTGATGACTCCAGCATTTTTGCAGCTGCTGCCTCCTTCGAATCCAATCTCCTTTTACGCTTCTTTCTGAGAGTGCCAAAAACAGAAGAAAAAAAGGAATAAATAGCATCATGCCCCCCTACACAGAAAAGGATCTTGTGTGTATGTGACATGTGTATATGTAAATGTAAAAGACCCCCAAAATGTTTTTTTTTTGTTTTTGTCTTTTTGGTGGGTTACTTAAATAGGTGTCTGGCTCTCTGGCTGCTGCTGGGGATACTTTAAATTCTCCGCTGCCTTTGATCTGTCCTTCGTTGAAGCTACACTTCATTTGATAGGACATCAAGAAAGCTTACCAGTCCAGAAGTAGTTCTGTCCTGTATCATCCACTGAGATAAACCATAATCTTCAAACATCCAAAGTACAACACCAACCCCCACAACAACAAAAAATTAAACACGAGAAAAAGGGTACCTGATTGATTCTGGCACATGGTGGAATCTAAGTTAAAGTATGTTAATCCAGTTCGGATACAACAAAAAAAAAATACCCTTATGTTATGATATGGGCCTAGAGATGAACCACGCCACTGTACCGTTGCATGCGTAGGCTTGGAGGCTCTTGAAGGATCACAGAGAACCACTCATCCAATCTGTGATGCTACAGAAAAATTTCCAAAGCAGCATTATCAAGAACACAAGCAGAACAGGCTGGCACATTCCAATCACATTTAGCAAAAAATATGTGCAGCATAACTGAAATGACACGGTATTTGACCGATAATAACTGATCCGTTTACACAACTAGATCACGTAACTTCATTACAGAAGAGACAGCAAGGGAACAAGACACCACTACCATACATGCCCAGGCAATAAGAAGGCTATGAGAAGAGAATGCGAAACCAATGAGATTTTCATTTCCAGCCGACCCTCTTACAGTAAATGGAATCCTACAATATTTTCTTTCTGGTATTTGAAGGAGGAACTACAGGTATCTATTGGCCGAAGGAGGTTATCCAGAACATAACTACGAGGTCCAACCATTACCACCACTGGTGAACAAGTACTCCACTTTGTCTAAGAGAAGTGAAGAGCTCCAGGCATTGGTCATAAGTCTTATCGTACTTTGTGCTCCTTTGACCAGGACAACATCTCTGCCACCTGTTATAGTGACATTCAAGAAACAGCTCATCAATCAAACATATTGCTCCGGTCTCAACCAATCTTGGTATTAGATCAAATTCAGTTCCTTCAACGTCCATCTTCATCACGACAAAGTCTCTCTCTCTCACCACGCTCTTCAACCACTCCGCGAAATCAAAACCTTGAATCAAATCCACCTCCCCATTGAAACCATCTCCAGAGGTTGACGAGGATTGAACCGGCTGGATTCTCCCCATTCCCCTGCCTCTCGCTTTCACTTCCTTCCCCGGGTCATGATTAATCTCAAATGTCAACGTCTCATTCCTCACCCACGCTGCATATGGCAACAGCTGAACCTTTTTCTTCACCTTATACTCTTCATGGAAAGTTTTGTCTGCTTCTATGGCAAAGACATCAAAGGTTTTGTTCTGCTTCGGGTACTCTTTGCGGAACCAACTTCCGATGCTAGACCCATAACTTCGTGCACCGACATCAACATATACATATCTACTCTTGAAACTTATATCTACAATGGAAGGAAGATACTTTATGTTCTTTATGTTCCTCTTCAGCGTGATCCATGGCTTGAGAGGCTCCTCCGTAATAAGTGGCTCTGCATTTCGGATCAAATCTTTTTTGTACCCAGAAACCGAACAACTAATATCAAACGAATTCTTCCGGTGATGACCACCCATCTCGGCATGTTTCTGAATAACAATTTCTCTTATATGAGGCATCGAAGAATCAAAACCTTCTAAATCACGCATCTTCACTAGTTTGCAAGAATTAAACAAATCAAGGAATGAATTGAAACTGTACGTATCTGTAGCCCCCACATGAACCACCGCAAACCCTTCGGGCTTCAGGGTCCGGACCATCTCCTCCGCAAAAGCCAACTGCTTCAGCGACTTCTCGAGCCGACCACCACCGGAGAACACAAAGTCGAATGTGTTATCGTCGAAGGGTATCGCATGTCCCTCGCCTCTTATCACCAGCGGCCGCGATGCTTTCTTCGAAATCCCGACCGAATCCTTTACTCCGATTTCCCTCAAGGCGAAAACCTCTTGCCCAACCGCTGTTTCTACACACAGCGAATTCGAATCCGGCGAGAGGTAACCATCAGCAATCAGATCCTGAAAGATGGAGGAGTAAAATTGAACGGCCTTGACCCAATCCTTGCTGGTGTACAGATCATGGTCCGGGGACCCGACAGGCGTAGATCTGACGGCGCCGTTGCCGACTATAGCAGAAACGCCGACTTCGGCGCCGGCCATGACAAAGTTGAGATTCTCGGGGAGAGAAAAGAAACAGAAGTCCCCGCGATTGCATGATTCTCCGGCGATGGTGACGACGTAAGCAAATCGAACGACGATGATCACAACGCCGAATAGAAGAACCCGCGCCATGATATTCCGTAAGAAGCTCGTCTTCCCAGTCGGAGGCTCCATAATATCTCACTGTAGAAACTCCTTTACAGCAACAGCAACAACAACAAACCACAAAAGAAAGAACGAAAGAATAGCTCGATGTTCGTTTACTGGATCAATTTTCAACCCAAAAGAGAGAGAGAGACCCTGAATCTAAGGAGGTGGAACGAGATTAGCGGGAGCAAAAGCGGGCAGCTGTGTGATTAGCTCCGATTAGGATTCGAGGAAAAGAGGAAAAGTTGCAGATCGGAGGAGTGCTAAAGGCAAAACTGGCAAAGGAACGCATGGTCTGTGAAGCTCCAATAACCAAAAAGGCGACGGCGAGGGTTTCTCCGGCGGCTATACCACGGAGGAGAGAGGGAGACTCATGGATGGATTCTAGAGTGAGAAAGCAACGGTTACGAGAGAGAGAGGGGATAAGAAGCGGGGCGAACGCGGTGACGATCTCCCCACGCGGACGAAGCTTCAATATCAGGCATAGGTTTTATAGTTATTTTCCGACATTGCCACGCTGGCTTTCTCTCGAAGCGTTGCTAATTGGTTGTCATTAACCAAATCTTAATTCAGACTCCCCGTATTGATTCGATACCTTAATTAATGATCTCCAAACTCTTTAACTATTTTAGGAAATTCAAGGTTATATTTTTGGTGGATCCGATGTCATTAACTGGGGATTCTTCTACTCTGGATGCGGACGAATATATTGATGGAAATCTAAATCAGAAATGGAAAAATGAGGGCATGAGATATTTGGGCTGAAATATTCCAAAAAAAAAAAGAAACATGAATGAACGCGTGAACGTACCGAACCGAGCGCCGCGGCAGCCGTTACAACTTGTGATTTGCGAGTAAGTGAAGTCGCTGTCGCCAAGTCGGCATGACAGATGGAAGAGTGGACCACGCTTTCTTTTTCTTTTTTTTTATAGTAACTGAACAATTTAATTGATCCAACAAAATGATACGTTAGCATCGTATCAGAATTTGATTATTAGTTATAATCATACCGCATTTAGTATAAAAATTGAACGAATATATTGTTTTAAAATTAAACTCTAACGGAACTAAATTAAAAAAATAACTAGAAAAACTGAATTGGATTCACCATTAAAAAAAATCGAATAGTAATAATTGAATCCGACTAATACGGAACCAAAACCCAAAATGTATAAAAAAAAATGATTCTTTTCAAGGGAACGAAAAAAGCTTACATGAAAGAGGAATAGTACAGCATCGTAAAGGGGGGAGAAGTGGTTCGCCTGCCTCTATACACACCTCAATCCAACACGACGTCGTCCTTTAGCCTGTGACGATCATTCACATGATAAACGACGTCGTCCTTCTTTTGCTCGTTTGCGTATAGGATTGGAATTCACCAGTAGTCATTACAAGAACAAAACCCTTGTCGAAAACAGTGAAACCTGTTGTTGTCTCTGACCACAATCTCCCTTCCCGTGATCTTGGAAATCAGCTTCATCGCCTCGTGACAGTCTCCACATACCCTCAGATTCTTCACCACCCGAATCACATCCTCTTCACTCTTACTCATCATCAGCCCATACGCCACCGCCAGCTTCTCGCTGTGGCACCTCACTGCCCTCTCCTTCTCTTCCTCTTCCACATCGAACATCACTCCCTCCGTTTTCGCAACAAACCCCATCTTCCTCATCTCGTTTCCCAATTCCTCCAGCTTCCCGTAAATTCTTTCGATCTGCGGGTGAGATCTGTCGTCCACTAGAAACTCGTGGACCGTTCCTTCCAATTCGATCCAACTGCACCCGGGAATCTTCTTCATGCCTTTCTCATTCATCACTTCTCTTACCTCTGCCGCCTCGTCCCATCTCCCGCTTCCCGAGTATATATTCGACAGCTGCACGTAGTTCCCTGAATTCCAAGGTTCCAACTTTACGAGTTCTTTAAGAACCCTTTCCGCCAATCTCATCTCTTTGTGAAGCCGGCATCCGCTTAGCAATGCTCCCCACACTACTGCGTTTGGTTTCAACGGCATGTCATTGATCATGTTATAAGCTTCGTCTAGCAGTCCAGCTCGTCCGAGGATATCGACCATGCACCCGTAATGCTCAATCTTGTGTTCCAATGAGAAAATCCGGCTCATTCCGTCGAAAAATCTCCTCCCGTCTCCGACCAGACCTGCATGAGCGCACCCGCACAGAAGGCCCAGGAACGTGTTCCCGTCTGGTCTGATCCCTAACTTCTCCGTCTGACCAAAGACAGCGAACGAGAGCTCGACGTGGCCGTTCTTGGCTAGTCCAGTAATTGTAGCGTTCATAACCACCCTGTCTTTCTCCTCCATTGCTCTAAAAACTTCGAAACCTCGGGCCATAGTCCCACACTTCGCATACATATCGATAAGAGCAGTGCCCATGACCGGATTCGTCAAGAACTCACGCCTATCGATCAAATTACTTCCCCACTCACCCAATTCAAGGGCTCCTAGACTCGCGCAGGAAGAAAGAAACCCGACGATGGAATAGCGATCGGGTTTCAGATTTTTCCGTAACATCCGGAAGAATAACTCTGTAGCCTCTCTCGGAAGGCTATTAGAGGCATAACCCTGAATCATACTACTCCAAGTGACGATATCTTTCTCGGGCATTGCCTCGAAAACAGAACGAGCTTTCTCCATATTCCCGCACTTTGCGTAGAAGTCGACTAAAGATGTCGAGAGGAATGAGTTTCTGTACATCCCGATCTCCTCCATGACGTACTGATCAATCCACTCGCCGCTGCTCAGATCCCCTAACTGAGCACAAGCAGACAAAATTCGAACGACCAGGTAACTGTCTGGTCTCACACCCATCCCCAGCAGCTTCTTAAACACATCGACAGCTTCCCTGTGCTTGCCGGCGGAGATATACCCACTTATGATCGCCGTCCAGGAAACAACGTTTCTCTCGGGAATATCGTCGAACACCTTGATGGCGTCGTCGAGACGGCCACATCTTGCGTAGAGGGAGAGGAGGCTGGTCTGGGAGAAGACATCGCGACCAAAGCCCGATTTGAGAAGGAGGGAGTGAAGGTGGGAAGCGAGGTCGAGGTTGGGGAGCATGGAGCAGGCCTTGAGGAGGAAAGGGAAGGTGAAAGAATCGGGAGAGAGGCCATTGGAGCGCATGGAGAGGAAGAGATGGACGGATTCATGGAAGAGATTGTTAGAGACGAAGCCGCGGAGGAGGGTGTTGAAGAGGAAAATGTTGGGTTGATGAGTAGTGTGAGAGAAGATGAGGTGGGAGTAGAAGGTGAGGCCGAGGCGGAGAGTTCGCTTCAGGAGGAGGTTGAGGATGTAAGTGTCGTCGTGGAGGTTGTGGCGGATGACGGCCGCGTGGATCTGCTTCAGGTGTTTTCCGGTGCCGGAGATGCCGTCGTTGAGGATCAGGGTTTTGATCCGATGGGCTTTTGCGTTCATGGCTGCCTCCCCTTCATTCCCGCGCAGAATTGCACCCGCGTTTCGAATTTGCCTCCGCTCTCGTCATTTTCTTTCCTTAACGATAGGACAACTTTATTTCATCCCATACAGTACCTACCTACCGTATAGCACAGATTCAGCGAAAACTGATATTATATCATACGTCCTATCTAAAAACCTAGGTGAATACAAAACTATTACCCAATTGATTACAAAATCAACAGACCATCCTATATCAGAAGGAAGAATGACAAAAGGAAAAATCATGCAAATAGAACATAAACCAAATTAGTGGTAAATTTGGGTACAAACGATGATGATAACAGAGAAGGCAAAAAGGCATATGCTTGAACATCACTATCAGAACAAATAGACATTGATCAAATAAGACTCTCCATTCACTGGAAACATGCTGATTACAATCCACCAACTCATCATTCCGAGCTCAAACATGCAGGCATTTAATTTACAGAGAAACCAAACCCATATCCTATTGCAGAGCTAAGAGCGAGGGACATATTTACTCGCACTCATCCTCCATTTTTCAGAGTATATTTTGTGACTTTTTTTATGTTATACAGACAACGTGTGCAAACACAGCTGTAACAGAAATGTCTTGCGTAATAAAATCCTTACTTGAATCTTTCTGACGCAAGATCAAGCAGTCTACGGAAGAACTGACTAGGATACATCGGTGGATCCTCTGCTAATGCCTGAGGGTTTCAGCAAAACATATCCACAACAGAGTTTCGTGTCAATGCTGGTAATTACGTTTGATGGAGAAGAGAAATGTACGCTCCCAGCTGGTTACCTGATGGATCAAGACAGTGGACGGAGTCATTCCGGGCACTGTGTTCACCTCTATCACCAACACCTGCAGAATTGCCCAAAAATTATTTTTATTAGAGAGATATGTTATATTTGCGAGGGCGAGTGTATCTTCTTCGAAGGTGTCAAATTCTTACAAATTCTCTAAGATAGTCTTTGAGCTAAAATAGTATCTGGCAACAGACTAGTTTCAACTACTCTAAAGTTCCTATCTGGGCAAAATCCCATTCTCTGTCTGGGCCTCGAACTTAACATTTTAACTTTTGTTCTTTAATATATTGCCATAAAATAAACTCGGACGTAGGATTGACTTGTTCTTTTATAATCATAGGTTCTTCTCTTCCCCTTTCGCTACAAGTAGTATATACAAGAAATATATGGGACATACCTCTCCAGTATCAACATCAACAAATGCGTCAATGCGTGAAAACCCTTCCAATTGCAGAGTATTGGCAATTAGCTCAATATGCTGTTTGCATCTCTCAACAGCTTCGCTACTGAAACATGAACTTGAATCACTTAGGTTTCAAAGACGCCTATTTTATATCAGTAACACACTATGCACAGTGTTTGAACTTTTCCTCATGGAAGCCTGTGTTTGGAACCATTTTTCAATCATGTTAGGATCTTTTTCATATCCAGTCAATATATGTTTTACCAATTTATATCCTTGATATGTTTTAACTTCTAGTTCCCTTTTTCTATATAGCAAAATGCTCTCCTGGTCACTGATTCTTAGGCCCATATTAGAGGATTTTTCCCACCAAAAATCTAGCAAATCTTACTTTCATCTCTCTTTTTTTCAGCGAAATTGGATTGGGACCATGTGCGTTCAAATGCTCACACAAGTACTAGATAAAGTTTCATACATTAGAATGAAAACAAAAGTTATTCACAAACCTCATAATTGATGTTGGGGGTGGCGTTAGATTTATGCCAGTGCCGCCTGTGAAACATCAGGGAATAGTATTAACATGTCATAGATTTAGTATCCGTGGTGGATAACTAGTGTTCCTAGAGCCTTGCCAATAGAAAACAAAAGTTTCATATATCAGAATCGTACCTTGGAATTTCTCCTCAAGGGACAAAATACCGCCAGTTTCCTTGACAGTGACACTAGGACTCAGTGAATGCATTGATCCTCGCTTTCCAATAACACCAACTGTTATCTCTACCCAGCGGCTGTCACCTTTCCAGAAGAGTCTCCGCCTGTCTTCACCTATGGTTTTGGTCGAAACTATGATCTCATCAGTCTCTATGAATGGTTCAAAAATCAAGAGCTCTGGAGAAGGAGTTGGCATCTCGATCATCCCATGTGCCTGGCAAGTAGATAGAGAGGGAGAGGGCAAATAAAAAAGGATTATATCCCATAATTCTACTTTATAAGTGTTTATTTATTAAAACCCAAAATTGACATGTGGTGAATCAGTTGACCTAACAATCCGTCAACAATTCCACTACACCAAGTCGCACAAACATAACTCTACTTGCACAACAGAATAATTATTCTTTACCTTAGAAAAAGTATTTGGGGGAATTCTTGGTAAATGGTCCTTCAAAGCTTGTATATACGTAGCAATGTCTTCAGAGGAACTACACAAACCCAGAAGGAAAAAGGCAACATATAAAGTGTAACAAGGAGGAAAGGGGAAGAGCAGTGTCTTTCAATAGGTGAAACTAGCTATATCAGCAATACTTTCACATCCTTGGTAGCAAAAATATGAGAATTACCTTAGTCTTGCGACACCAGTCGAGCATCCATCACTAGCTGGTTTAACACACAGCATCAGGCTCCGAAGTTTGGTGGTCAAATCATGCCAAATCTTTGGTACAGACCCATTCAGTAAATCCTCTGTTCTCTCAACATGTTTGCTTATGGTAAGAACTCCAAACTCTGAAAGCTGTTGGTTGTTCATGAATTGCAAACCGTTGTTATACTGAAAGGCATTCCACCCAAATTTTCATAAACTAGCCCAAAGGGTATATCTACTCTTTACCATACATGAGTAAGAGCCTGCGATGTCATGACCTTATCCATGCATGTTCTTGAAGCCAGTACTCCGGGACCTTTATTTAAGAACAAAGGATTAAAAAAACACCAGAAAAATGAGAAGCCATTTTATACAACAGCAAAAAATCCAACAGACAATGGCCTGCTAAAGAGTAATGTAGAATGAACCTGTGTAAACAACTCCTTCATCCTCTAATAATGCTTGAAGTGTACCATCCTCCCCTATTCCTCCATGCACTGGCAATTAACATTTGCAAGAAAATGAGAAGGAAAAAGTGCATTAAGGTCTCACCACAAAAACGAATAAGACGCATACAGAATAAAAGTACTCTATATTGATCTCACATCAGCCAAGCATAAAATTGGTTAATAGCTTATAAATCCAGTGACTCCTTCTTCTAACAAGCTGCCTGTTGAGTTTAAGTGCCTGTAGTCTTTGGCTTATCTTAACATGATACAGGTAATGACTAATTTGGTATCACAAGAAAAACCCATGCTAAGGCAGGCCATGTAAAAGGGGATATACTAGGAGAAGACAAACTGGTTAAACCAGAGAGGCCACCAGCAGTTATAGGATAGGTTAATGGCTTACAAATCTAGGAATAGGTTGGTGGTTAGCTTTCAAGGAAGAGTTCTCTACCTATGAGCTCACTGCAATTGGTTTGGACCTAGTACAAAATGTGCCTTATTACACACCCCACAACATTCAAAACCATAGTTAAGGCAGCGAAGAAAGAGACCAGCAATGAAAACGATCGCTTGAGCTTCCTTTGCAAGCTTGATCCACTCTTTTAAAGAAAACTTCGCAGGCAGATCATCTGCTATATCGAATCCTGCAAACCAGCTTTGGTTCTTTAAACAATCCATAAGATTCTCCATCACTTGATTCTGCAGCAGAGATGTGAATGCAGCTCGAGTGGGTTCGATTGCCGCCAAGCATGCTGCAAGAACTTCCTCCGTAGTGTGCCTTAGCACAAGAGAGTAGCTGAGAAAACAGAAAACAAAAACTTCCAGATGTTCACGAAGCAACAACACGCTAATAATATCTACTGACATAACATGATCACAAAGAAGAATTACATTATTTTCATATATAAGCAAGTGAAATGTCATAATTCCTTACCCCTGTCCTTATGAGCTTAATTCTTATGGATATCAACACGGTTATGAGTCTCCTTTTCTTTTATATAGGCAGTAAACTATCTTCTATCTCTGTCAATATCTATTGATATACTGACACAGTTTCATACAAAAAAAGGCGTACTGCTCAAGAGATAAAAACTTACGGCAAAGACCAGACTTCTCTGTTGTCGAAATCTGATACTTTTTCATTGGAAGCTGTACCAGATCTGCTGTTACGTGAAGGGGAAAGCAAACAAGGAGTTACTTTTAGCTGTAAAACACCAAGACAACCAATGTTAGATAATATTCTGACAGCAGAGTTGTAGCAATCAGCAATTTTAGTTCTACCAAATATGCCCTGTGAACATCACATCTTATAAGTCGTGTGGTTACACTTCAATTGCAGATTGCGTAAAATGCTACCCTTGTTTCAACTTACATCTCCAAATGTTTGTAAATTGAGCCAAACATTTGTTCCACTCATAAGGGATACTTGTCGTTCTGAAGTGTCTCCTCCAAATATGACAAACACTTTCTGGTTGGCCTCAGAGTCTTTCAAGGTTGATTCTTGAGGCAAATGATTCGATCCAGAATTATACCATGCAAGACTAGGAAACCTTGAGCAAGCACGGTGTATAATTGTTTGCAAAATATTCGAATGTGAAAATCCAACCTGGGCGTAAGAAGTTAGTGTGCATCAAAGAAGAAGACATAATAATGAGTATGCAGAGAAGCTAAATCTCACTAAGACCTCATGTTCATTTCGCTGTCAATAATCAATAAGGAGCATATGTAAGTGCTGAAAATAATTCATCACTCAACAAAGACGAGAAACGTGAATGTAAGTCATCGTCGTAAGACTTCTCATCTATTAGGTGGAGGTGTATAGGTATCTAAATGCCAGAAGACCACAAGCGCAATTTTTAAACGTTGGGAATGATAGGGAACAATTATTTTAAAGGCAAACGCATAATAAGCACATATGTAACAAACCTGTCAATGTTAGGGTATATATAATCACCTTAGATGCCTGCTGGAAGAGAAAGCTGGTTTGCTCCATACCACTTATCTGATAAAGCAGTTAAATAATACATCTGAGATTTACAACTAATAAAAACGAAAAAGACAGAAATTCCACTTGGTACAAAGCCCGGGAGTCCTCCAATTTGCTTACCAGATTGATATCTGTAAATACAACTGCTCCTGACTCAGTATTCTCAGATTCATCTCCTCTAGAAGATAATAGATATGAAGTAGGAGCCAAATACCATCCATCAATACGAGCAAAATCTCGTAAACTAAGTTTCTGGAATATAAGTGCAGCTTCTTCCCGAATACTTTTGATGACGTGGATTGGAAAACGAGGAGGAGTGTGATAAGTCACCTATATAATTACAAAATAAACATTAAGATACCAATCATTTAATGCAGGATTTTCCTTGAAGATTTGCAAAATAAATATTCATTTATCAAATATATACATAAAGGTTGTTGAATAACATTTCTAAATCCGCAAACCTTAAAAACAAAGAGAAAGATTAAAAGACTAAAGTATATAGGAAAGTGGTAAGTGTTTGGGACATACCATTAACAATCTTTTAATTGAAAATGCAAGAGTTCTGTTCTTTTCTTACCTGCTGTGTGGGAAGATACTTTCTTCGGTAGTCAAAGATTGTATCTTCCTCCCTTGCATTTCCACTGTCATGGAAATGGAGCTCCACCTATGATTTAGATTAGTAAGAAAGAATTCACACTGCTAAGGTAATGAAATACCACATAAAACAGTAGGTGCAGGACGCTATCCCATATTTGACATAAATAGTTTCTTACGAGCAACACATTAATATTTACATCATCCACATGGAAACAATGCTTTGCATGAATCTTGATGGTTAATCGAGGCAAAAAGAAAAGTTCGGAAATTCAGGCTGAGTTCTCAACAAGTGAAATTCAGAAAACTGCACGTGAGCTTACCTCAGTGGGCAATAGCACGACGGGACAACAATCAGAACCAGAACCAAAATCAACAACGATGGCCGTGAACTCACAAGCGTCTTCAAGAAAGACCTCAACAATGATCCTATCATCAATTCCCTGTCAGACACAAGAGGAGCATCTAATACATGGGGCACCCCTTGATTTCCAGAAAATAACTTATTTGCATCATCTATTTCCCCGCATCCTTTGTTTTTCTTCTTTTTTTTTTTGTTAAAGATAGATTATTTGTCTATTAATCAATTTTCTCAAGCTTCCAACAAAGCCTACCTCTAGAATAAGTTCTTTGGCTTTTTTAAGGGAATCATATACGCCGTAAGCAACCTTGACACCAATGCTGGATCCTGCTCTTGCTGGTTTTACCTAAAATAGACAGACGTGAAAAGCAGATAAAAACAACGGGGAGAAAATGGATACCATTTTCTTTCAGCTGAAACCAAGCTGGATGCTTACCACGACTTTTCCCGATTGGAGGTTCAGCTGGTTATCAGAAAACCACCGCGACATTTCATTTTCATCAGCTCCAGTTCCCTGAGTGCAGTTTTAATAAAAGGAAGAATATCATGAACCAGAAATTTGAATCCACAATGTATCTTGTTTTCACTCATGAACAACAAACTGACTGCAGAACAAACCAACACATCTGCTAATACAAGATACTACCTGCACCAAATAGCTCGGTACTGTCATGAAACCATGCTTTCTGAGCTCCAAGGAGGCCTCATACTGCTCACAGTTAAAAGAAAATAATTAGAACCGCCCTAATCAAGTTGCAGATTAATGTCGGGTAAAATGTCCAGGATGGATTCGAAGTTCATCTCACAAGAAACATCACCAGTTGAAACAGAAACTAAGCAGGTTTCGTTATAGTTATGATCGAAAACTAGAAATCGAGCCATCTTCTTGACCTTGTCAAAGGCTCGGCGACATTCACTTGGTCCAGTGCCCACAAATGGAATGTTGTACTTTTCCAACAGCTCCTGCATCGCATTGACAGATTGCTTTGTGAGATTCCATGTCATTACAACTTCACATTGAAAATAAAAATCCAATGAGTCCAAGCATTCCAACAAAATAGAAACCTGGATGCTCCCATCTTCACCAAATCGACCATGAATGACTGGAAAAACAATGTCCACGGTAGAAACAAGATGCTCCGCAAAGTCAGATAATGATGAGAATCCTTGCGCAAGGCTACAACACCAACCAAACTGACCTCTCAGCTTTTCCGATATTTACTGTCCCATAACAATTCGGAACCCCCTCTACACTCTATAGCTCACCTCTCCACCTTAAAATCAAAATCTGCAGGAGTATTCGAGTACACCTGAAAATTTCACAAAACAAAAAGGCGAAATAGTCAAGACACAAGGCAATATATAGAAATGCTCAACTTAGGGCACGACGCATCAAACCTGGGCGGAGGAAATTGCATAAGCGTTGAGATCTGGATCTATATAATAACAGCTCACAGTTACGTTGTCTCCCTGAGGAAATATCATTCAAGAAATTTCAAAACCCAAACGAAAAAACATTCGGATTCAGAATCATAAGACGAACCAGAGCGCGAATACGAAGAGGAGAGAAACGCAGGAATCACCGAAATTAAACTCAATAATTCCGGAGAACAAAAGATTCGCATGATTAAGGAACCTGAATGTGATCAAGAACTGATCTCGCAGAGTTGAGAGAAATCCCGCGCTCCGCCGATGGACCTCCGCAGATGACTCCAACTCTCAGAATCCTATCCTTCCACCGCACCTTCTCCTCTCCATACACCAACGCCTCCAGGATGTCTCGCGTTGCACCAGCGCCGGCGATGGAAAGTTTCTCCGCCCTCGGCGAACCCCATGTATACTTGCACAGCGAGTTCTTCTGCTCCAGCTTCAAATCCATTGCCGCCGGAAAAGTTCCGTCGTCTCCTCCTCTGCCGCGGTGAAGCATCGAGAGGCAGACGCCGATCGCCATGGAAGCCATTCGGGAATCAAAACTTTTCTCTCTTGAATTTTCTTTGTAGAACCCGTATAGCTCTTTGACGGGCGGTGCTATCTTCCAGCAGAGTAATCACTAATCACCTCGATTTGACCGTTGCAAACTTCACACCAGGCTCCGGAAAGGGCGAGAGCCTTCCACGTGTCGTCCGAAAGACTTCCGATGGCATCAGTGGTCCATTTGGGCCCAAATATGTCTAGAATGGGCTTTCACAATGTTTAGTGGGCTTCTACGTTTAACCCACATTGAATTTCCCACGGTCCATGAACATCCGCCCGAGCATACAGTTTAAATATATTTGTCACCATTCCAATGGTTTAAAGATTTATACGAGCTAGCATTGAATGCTAACATCACAGAGAAGAAGAAGAAGAAGGAATCCATAATAAGAACTAGTTTACTGTAAAATTCAAATATCAACAAACAAATATTGTAAAAGATGGTTGTGATAAGGAAATGCATAAATTTAAATATCTCTGTAAATCAATAATAAGTATATATATATATATTCATTTTTTTAAAAAAAAAGATAATGTATTTTGGAGTAGTTATTGGAATTGATATGGGAGTGGGTGTGACAACGGAATACGTATTATTTTTACGATGGGTGGATTGTTGATATATAAAATGAATAGAGGTTGGTGTGAGTGGTGCCACCACCATCTCCATCTCCATCTCCGTCTCAATCGGTGTCCCCCTTTCCATTGTCGAGCTTTATGAAATTGTCATAATTACAAATCATTCTCTCCATCACCCCACGATTTAAATAATAATTTTAGTGGTCGTTGGTCAGCGTGTCTTTTCATCCATGTCTTGTTGGTCACATTATTATGACACCCACTGCTGTGTTTTTATTACTCTCTATTTTGTGTCCGCTAAAAATCTGAAAAGTTGGCACAGATGATTAAACATCTTTATCTTTTAATCAGATCAATCTTTTACCGCTTAGTTAATCGTGTTTATCTAAAGATGATCGGTGATTAATCCTCCCGATCATTCGGAGTTTTTCGGACTGCATGGACGAAATAGAGGGTGACGTTCATTCCATTTGGAAAAGAAATGACTGATAAAAATCATTATTTTCGATATATCAATTTATAATTCGTGGTATATCCAAAAAATTAAATTAAATTAAATTATAACGGCTTGGATTAAGTAGTGGCGACGCATCTGGATGTTACAAATAATTCATTTGTTTATTATTAGATCGAATTGGCTCAGGAACAGTACCGATCATATCAGTCTTTTAAGTGCCTGATTTCGTGAGATGTGTCTGCCACCTGATTTTGTTACTAATCGAATTTAAAACTATATTATCCAATCAAACCCTTTGTTTCGTATTTTCCTCAATTATTAATTAGCTTTTTCAACTACAAAACAATAAATATCACAACTATTACATATTTATTCTGATGTGTGGATGGTGGTGTTAAATTAATTACACAAGCGCTGCATAGATAGGCTTTGGGGGTATCTGCTAGGGGTGGGTGCCGGTACTTGAAACCTGCAGGTTTTCGGGTACCCGGTCTCACGGATACTCGAAACACGGGTATCCCTTATATAACGAAGACGAAAACGGATTTGATAAAGTCAAAAATATGGCTTGCGGATTCGAATCCGGGTTTTATTTGAATAGCGACGAGTATCCTCGGATACCCGGATACGAATAAAATGACAATTATATCCCTGATATTTTGATATATTTATGATAATTATTAAAAATATTTTTATATTGAGAAGCGAATGAATAACCATCTGCTTCCGAGTTGACATCTTATAAAGAATTGGACGGGTTTGAGTGCCCTCAGTAATCGAGTTCAGCGACGGATACCCGAACCACGGGTATCCAGATTTCACGAAAACGAAAACGAGATAATATTTTTTCAAAACTCGCAAAGACGAAGACGAAGTCCGGGTACCCAAAAACTCAGGATACCCGACCCATACCCAACCCTAGTATCTGCAATTTGCACGACAATAGTATCATCTAAAAATAAAAATCAAATATGAAACTCTGTTATATGTTTGCCTTTAAAATATGCAATATAAATATAAGAATGTCTAATATTTTTTTATATCAAAAAGATAACTTGTGATTTGGATTCTTATTTTACATGATAACTTTGTAAGTGATTGATTTTGTTAATGGGTTTGTGTTGTTCATCGTCTTTTTAATTGGTCATGGACCATAAATAAATACGTCAAGCCACGTAGATATTCGATGAGATGTCTATTTTATCTATTATGTCCGAATGGCAACCATTTCCTCGTGTTTTGTCCTCCATTTCAATTTTTATTCAACCCCACATTAATTCTTAACCCATACCTCCAATTTTCTTTCTAGTAACCTTATATATATATATACATGCCGATTCTTATTAAATCTACCATGCAGCAGTTTCTAATATGCATATTAACGTTACGGAAATACAAAACCCCCTAAATAATTAGTTTACGCAAAGTTACTGATAAAAGGAGAAAATATTTGTAAATGTAGAAGGTGATGTCACATTAAAGAAATGGCAAAAGGGTAGTCCACTCCTTTTGTTTACAAAAAGCCTATCGTCAACTTGATCGCAGACCCTTTTGGCGTTACTTCTGTTTCGGTATTATTCTCCCACACTTGTTTTCCCCACTTACATCTCCATCACTCTCCACAGCGCAAAGCCCCCTGTGTCATCTCATCATCTCCACGACACCTATGTGTTTATTTTAGGATGTAGAACGAACCCGGTTAGGGTTGGTTCGCAAGCCGGTCCATAATTTTCCGAGCCGAACTCAAAATATTTGAGTTCAGAAAAAAAAAACGGGCTAAACGGACCAACTCGGTGGATCTACGGGCTGACTCATTTTGGGATAGAAAAAAATATTTTTTTAAAAATTTTATATAATTTTAAATATTTCTATATAAAAATTGTATTTTTATTAGATATTTAGTTTGTTTTGTTTAAAATTTTAAAAATTTTATTATATTTTACAATATTTTTAAAATAGTTTAAATATTTTAAAAAATTATATATTTGACTCACGAATCGACTCGTTTGGCTCACGAATTAAAGCGATTTAGACTGGACTGGTCTATTTTTGGCTCGTGAAAAAAATGGACTGGACTAAAATATTTTCATATCGGAATGGTCCGGACTGGGCTGGGCCAAACCACCCATTTTACACCCATAGTTTATTTTATACATTATTAACATTCATGAAAATTATTACGTAGAGCTTTTTTCTTGGGGGTTAAAAGATTACGTTGAATTTTAGCAATAAACGTTTGTAATTTGAATAAAAGGGGCGACTAAATACGAGGTTTTAACAAAATTTGTTGTTACATGGTGAGGAAAAAAAAGGAGGGAGAAGAAATCGTATGTATCGTTTTGTAAGGATCGATGGACCCACAAACACAACACAATGAAAAACGCATGTAAACGTAGTTTGATTGTTTCGAAATGGTCCACGATCATAGATAGCTTTTGTAGATCGGATCTTTATTCCATTATCTGCTCATAGGCTGCTAGAGATTTCCCATGATCTATTGAAGAGGACATGTATTCTCTCATCTTGTTCCTCGTGAAAACGAAAGGGCTCTCCGTTTTTTTTTTTTTTTTTTTTGTGTGATAGATAATTAGGGGATTAGGACACTAATTAAGTATGTATCATCATGATTCCGAATCAATGAATATCCCTAAGTTGTATCATCCAATTCCACTTTTGCCTCCCCAAACCACCTGCCTCGACAAGCTAATTAATTGTCGTTATTAGTAATAATTGTCCTGAAAACCCGTTTAGTCCAATTCAAATAAATTCCAAAAAAAAAAAAAACTTATTCTCTCGGAATAAAACGCGAACGTCCAAAGTAATTAATTCACGAGTGGTAATAACCAAAGTTTAAATAAGTAATGAAACGATCCCGTAGGTTATACCTCAGGGTTACATTAATGGCTCATATAGATTTGGATATACAGATTTGTTATAACGTTTATATTTGTAACCCTAATCCTATTCAACTTCGCAAAATATCCAATATTTCACAAATCATATATATATATATATAGCATAGTCGGCTCCTAGATGCGCATGAAATAAATTTAGGGTGGAGTTAGGATAAGAGATGTAAAAGACAGGACATGATTTCGAGACAAGAGAAGCATCTAAACGATTTTCACAATGGAAGGACAAGTGGGCATGGAAAATGACTCCTTTCTGAAGATGATGGATCCTATCTATGTATCTATTATTTCCATCGACAATAATCACAGTAATAAAAATAATATCACATCTTTAATAACTATATATGTCGGACAATTTTCGAATTTTGTATTCAACGATGTAGTGTTTGTTCAACCGTCTTTTTCAATAATCCATGCGAGGAGATACCAATTCTATTAAAGATGCAATATATATATATATATATATATATATATATATATATATATATAATAGAAGAAAAATTACTGTTACTGTGCCTTGTTTGTGTTGCATATAATAAATTATCGCCGCCAAAATATATTGATGTGTGTGTTTATTAGCATATAGCTTTGTCGGTCGAAAAATTGCGTCTACTTTATTTTTTATTTTTAAAAAAGGCGGATTAGAGCATGCATGCATCGGATATAATTAGAACAAGTAGAGATCGCTTAGATGATCAAATTTGGTACGAGAAAATTTAAGAGGGCTCCCTACCTTGACGTCTGAAAAGGGAGAAAAGTAAATGAGCTGTCGAGTGACACTATTTAATGATTTCGCCATAAATAATCTTCCCTTAAAAATCAAAGTTCCTATCTAATCCCATTTATAATCAAATTAAGATTTTAACGATTCTATATGTATTTCTACAAATATTTAGGACCAACCTTTTTTTTTGTATATATGAATAACACGAAATTGTTCACATTAAAAAAAAGTTGAATCCTAGTGCTTTTACATATATTTGTTATTTTGAATGGATAATTTTTATATTTCTCGAAAGAAACATCGTATTCAAATTGAAACACGATTCGTTTTAGTTTATTTTAAAAGCCGTTTCACTGTAAAGACAATTATATAAATTGTAAATCACGAACTATATATATATATATACATATATAAACATATGTGTGTGTGTGTGTGTAGTTACAGTTTGGTGCGGTCCCGTGGTCCTTAGCCATACGAACGTGATTAAGGCAGGGTTTTTGGGTTGCATGTTCATGGGTCCGCCATGCCTTCCCCTTTTCTCTTTCTCGCTGTAATTCACGAGATTGTTCTGAATCCTAAATTATTAATGTATACTACCAATAAATATCTCTATAGATTGGGGAAATTATCATCACCGTTCCTTAGATTTTGTTAATTAATATTTTTTTTTTCAAGTTTGGATTCCAATTTCTATTACATGCAAAACATGGTTTCTCGAAATTATACGCGCAAATCCAGCGTTCAAGATTTAACCCACAACCCTCTCTTCAAATTCGGAATTTGTTTTGGTTGATTTTGCGTCGGTTGTATTTGTTTTTTTATTTCCGGGAGAAATAAAAAGGCATGTACTTATTGTTGATAAATTAATTTGGAATTGATAAAGGTTAATAATCAAATTAGAAATATCCTATATTTTAATATCCGTAGCTTATAAGTAACGATGCCAAACATATATACATAAAGTTGGATTTTTTTTTTTTTGCAGTATTTCCATAATGTATATAATGAAAGTTATAATAAAGGGTTGAAATATTTGGTTATATAGGCACCAAGAGAAGAGTGGGAATGCCTCACTCTCCCCCATTTGCTATAAATGAGAAATCACTGAATACATTGGTTGCTCTCTACCTGCCTCCCAAATCTCTCCATTATCATATCTGCTCTCTCCGTCTCTCTCTTGTATCATATTTGCCCCCAGAGAGAGAGAGAGAGAGAGAGAGAGAGAGAGAGAGAGAGAGAGAGAGAGAGAGAGAGAGAGAGAGAGAGAGAGAGAGAGAGAGAGATGACAAGAGAAGGTGAGTGTTGAGCAAGATGGAGAAGCAGGGCACGTGCATTACTAACTCATCCCATCCTCCCTCTCTACATCCATAGAGATATCGCACATACATTCACACACACACATTCATTCGCCAAATGCACGCATATATACATATATTTTTGGTGCGATCCAGTTTCATTTCTCTACGTGCATGTATATACACATCAACATGATGCCATTTGAATCTCTCCCTCTATACATATACACCCATATATTGATATAGCTATATATATACACAGACTAATATAGAGACAGCCTTAACGGGTACATATCTAAAAGACAATAGATATGCATATATATACACATTTATAGGATATGCTCTGATGATAAAAGTGATGTAGGGGTTTTTTTGGTCTGAAAGTCACGGGGGTACATGAGGGTCAATATATATATATATATATATATATATATGTCCGGTGGTTGTTTGGTGTGTGAATGAGTTGGTTGTTCATGTGCCCATCTTCCCCATCATGACCACACTCACCTTGGTCACTCCATTACATATCCATTTCTCCCTCCTCCCTATATATTGTATCTATATTCGTATACATGTGTAAATTAATGTACATGCACATGCGTATCTGTATATAGAAAATGCGTGTCTAATGTACACGTCTATATATGTACAATGAAGTTTACAGAGTAAGCACACTCCATGCAAGTGAAGCCTCCCTCTCGGAGACATCGGGTATGTATGTAATACACGCTTTAGTTAAGGCGTATTGCGCCATCCAAAAATTTTATAATCTCATGCAATCATATTTCACATTTTTTGGATTAACAGGACGTGGATGACAATTATGATCTAGTTAATATTATTTCCGGGTTACTAATTATCATAAATATGAAATTTTGTACATTAATGGCATGATATGACAACGATCTTTGAGCATGGGATGTAATTTGCAGGAACAAATGGGCCTAGGTGTTATCAATCCGGTGTTTGATGCACTGTAATCAATTAGCTCCACCCACCATATAGATTACTGTAAATAATTAAATATCACTGCCGGCATTTTTTTATTGGATGTGATTATTAATGGATTGTATACTATTTAAGCAAAAGAATATTCCTCAAATCATAAATTGTCTCGTCGGTATTATCATTCCCAATTCGTATAAGTTCGTCCTTCCATGCCAATTTTAACTACATATAAATGTGTGTGAATGACTCAGATACGTACATGTACATGTACATGCACATGCACATGTCTATGAATTAAGCAGAATTCATGAATCTGGGGGATATGGGTGGGTGTGTGCGTGCAATTGGACAATAACATAGAATGCATAATTTTAAAAGATTATAAGCTCTATAAGCGGTTGCGCATGCGCTGATTTCTTTCTGTTGTATTCCTTATATATATAAATCACAATAATAATGATAATGATATATAATATGCAATGTAATTTATTTTGTTATGGAAAACCATATATTTAGTAATTTATATATTTATCTATGAGATGTTTGGTAAAACAAATTATGCTTAATATACATATATACTTACATATATATATATATATCCTTTTGTACTGTCTCTAGCTCTCCTTGGCGGTGCCGTTAATTTAATTCAAAAGGGGAAAGGGGTATGGTTGTCTTTTCCATCTCGTACAGGTTGTCATTTGACACCAATATCCCAAATCAACCCCCAAAAGTCTCATTATTATATTATTTTTTCTTTTATTATTTATCGTTTATAACTTTTTATATACGTATATATATTATATTCATTATATAGTTGACAATGTCCATTTACACTTGTATCTATCTGATCACTATTTAAGGCAAGGCTTGCATGAAATATTTCCCCAGCAATATATATATATATATATATATATATATATATATAACTGATTGGGCTAAGTTATTAAAATGGGCCTCTTGTTGGAATTCATGACGAGGGCCAGGACCTAGAATAGAAGAGCCATCTGGATGGATGTAGGCCCATCCATGAAGTAGGCTTCGCCGAAGATCAGAGAATGCGTGGAAACCGTGGCCCATTCAACGCGTTATGCAAAATCTTACTGATTTTTTTTTTATTCACATCAAACATTTATAAAACCATGCCTAATTATTAACCTTATTAACCTTACATTTATTTAATTGGAATCGAATCGGCCCACGCCGTTAAAGTATCCTATATGGTTTTTGAAAACCCATTGAAAATTCCTCTCAACATTTAAATAATAAACCCTAAAATAAAATTAAAAAAAAAACTGCCACTACTCCCATTAAAAACCGGACAAATTCCAATCCGAATCTTTTTCTATTTTGTTTCCCCATTTGTGTTTGTCATAATCGATATCATTCATCCTCCAATAGATTTGAATAATAAATTTCTCCCTTGACTTTTCTGCCCACGGAAAATCAACGCGTTCCATCCAAAGATATTTATCTTCTCGTTTCAAAGATTATATAGACACCTTGTTCTCTCCGTTCAATGCCATTCTATTAAAAGAGAAAAGAAACTTGTCTGCATACTCAACAAACGAATCCCCAAAGGAAAGAAGAAAAAGAGAGAGAGAGAGAGGATGGAGCAACCGTACGTATACGCGTACCCAGCAGGTGCAGGTGCCGGGGCTGCGCCGCCGCAACAACCGGTGGCGCCAGGGATCGTGAGTCCTGCGTACTGCGCTCCGTACCCTGTGGATCTGGCCATCGTGCGGAAAGTCATGACCTTAACAGACGGTAACTTTGTCGTGACGGACGTTAAGGGAAACATCCTCTTTAAGGTCAAAGAGCCGATGTTCGGTCTCCACGACAAGCGTATCTTACTTGACGCTTCCGGATCTCCGGTTGTCACCTTGCGAGAGAAGGTACGTATCCCCCCCGAATCATTGGCTGTTAGATCTGGCTTTGGAATTACTAGAAATGGATACAAATTATAAATAATCCAATTTTTTTTACCCTTAATATAGAAATTAAAAAATTTGCCGATCCCTAGTTTAAAGATAATATTCTCTTTCCTTTTTTATTCACACCGGTTGGTCGTTGGAAACATACCTTTATCTTCGTTTGAGCATAATCAATCCACCTACTTGAGCAGCTGAATTATTTATTTTCTATTTTTTTTGGAATATAAATATATATATGTCTACCAGGTCTTTGATATATATATTTGGGAAAATGATATTTTTCTACACGAATTTATCAAAATGTGACGTTTTTCTACACGAAATTTTAATTTGACAAATATCTACACCCAATTAACAAATTTCTCAGAATTCATACACGAATTATCCAATTTTACTGCAATTAATTACACAGTCCGAAATTATCCATTAATTGCTGACGTAGAAGGTAACGTGGCGGCTGACGTTGCATGTCATCTAGGATTTTTTGCCATGTCAATATGAATTAAAAATTACACGTGGCATGTCACGTCAACCGACACGACCTTTCCATCAACAATTAATGGATAATTTCGAACTGTTTAGTTAATTGCAGTAAAATTAGATAATTCGTATATAGATTTAGAAAATTTGTTAATTGGATATAGATATTTGTCAAATTAAAAATTCGTGTGGTAAAACGTCACATTTTGATAAATTCGTGTTCTCAATATATTTATATATATTCTGACGGAGTCTACCAGGTCTTTGATGCGCGTACAAAAAATACAGGAAATATAATATAAAACGACGACTCGTATAAAAAGAAAAAATAATGATAGAAAAAGGCAAAAGATTTCATGGGGGCGGGAGTTTGCTAATGGAAGTGAGGTGAATGGCAGATAATGAGCATGCATGACAGGTGGCAAGTTTTCAGAGGAGGGAGCACGGAGGCACGTGATCTGCTGTACACAGTAAAGAGATCGTCGATGCTTCAGTTTAAGACAAAGCTGGACGTGTTCTTGTCCCATAACAAAGACGAGAAACGCTGCGACTTCCGTGTGAAAGGGAGCTGGTTCGAACGCTCCTGCGTCGTTTACGCCGGCGATTCCGACTCCATCGTCGCCCAAGTAAGTTGGTTCAATACAATATTTTCATTTTCTTTTTTATTTTTTCTTTTTAATAAAAATGGATGAATTTCGATGGAAATGTGAACAGATGCATAAGAAGCACACGGCGCAGAGCATATTGTTGGGAAAAGACAACTTCACGGTGACGGTGTATCCGAACGTGGATTATGCATTCATAGTGTCGCTCATCGTAATGCTCGACGACATGAACCGAGAAGACGCTGCCAGTTCCGGTTCTTTCTAGACACCCACACCCTCCCTTGTTCTTATGTCGTCTTGTCTATGTTCCGTCTTATGTTGAACAATTTTTAGATCGTGTTTTGTTTTTGCTCAAACTCTGATGTTTTCGTTTGTGACATAAATGACCATTATTTGGTGATGTTATTTTTTCTTTATGCAATTGGGATTTCGTTTATCCAAGATTAGGTGGTTCAACCGGTAAAGAATGGAGCAAAACTCTTTTCTAACCCGTATTTAAATCCTTACTTGGGAGAGAAGAATATTCATATTGATTTTTCCGATTTTCTGAAAAATGTATTCGGGTAAAGACCCGGTGAACTTGTTGGGCTTTGTATATGTGGAGGCAGGCTTTTATCATGCTCTGTAGTGGGTCGTAAACAGACTGAAAAGGCCGTACTGAATGTTTATGGGCTCCTACTATTGGGCCTCCTTTAGATCACTATGGGCTTTCTATTCACTAACGAGATCCGGATAGCCCACAAAAGTTGGTAAAGCCCGTCCACCCGCAATTTGCGAGAGTATATCTCACGCGCTCCTAATCGTCGTCGTGTATCACCTGTTTCTTTTTCCCGAAGGAAACGCACCAAAATAAACCACGACTTGTGGAATCCATTTAAAGGAGAGGCCGATTTCGCATTATGCGCGTGGCGAGTGTTGGCACTGAAAGGACGAGCTAAATGTGGTGGCACTGAACGCACGCACGAATTCCTCGCCGATATTCAGAAGCTTATGCACGTGCGTGCTCTTCTTCCTCCTCGTCTTATGCTTCTATTTATGGCGGGAAGACCCTCATATTTTCCCGGAAAATATCCCATCGCAACACCGACGAGGAAGACTCAATCTCATACGGGAGACCTGCGTTTTTAATTTCCAAGGATCCTCTGCATGAAATGATGGCTTCTAGTTCGTCTCCTTCGTTCACCCTGTCTTCTGTCACGGTGGCCGTTGACAAGGCCACGAGCGAGCTCCTGCTCACTCCTGATTGGACCATCATCCTCGCCATCTGCGATTCCGTCAATTCTCACCACTGGTAATTCCGCTTCCGGCTTTGTGTCCCTTTTTTTTTTCTTTACATAAAAGGCGTTTGCATTTGAATCGAGGATCAAAGAACGCGAAACGAGAAATGTGGCTCTGATTCGGAGGAAAGGGGTCGGGTTTCATGAACGTTGTTTAACATTTGGCTTGTCTATGAAAAATTGTCCAGGCAGGGTAAAGATGCCGTCAAAGCAGTGAAGAGGAGATTGCAGCACAAGAACGCTAAAGTTCAGTTACTTGCTTTGACGGTAATTTCTTATATCTGTGTTGAACAGAATATGCTATGCTAATGATGAGAACATCATCGTGATTTGAATGATCTGTTGGTAGCTGTTGGAGGCAATGGTGAAAAACTGCGGGGAGCATCTGCATTCTCAAATTGCTGAGAAACATCTACTTGGGGAGATGGTCAGGATTGTGAGAAAAAAGGTGATTTGATTCTTCATCAAAGACTTCACCTTACATTTTTGAAGTTTCTGATTGATCATCAAACTCGTTTGTGCGCGATTGGATTCTCTGTAGGGGGACTTCGAAGTAAGGAACAAAATCTTGATCTTATTGGACACTTGGCACGAAGCTTTTGGGGGCGTCGCTTGCAGATTCCCCCATTATAACTGGGCGTACGAGGAGTTGAGGGTAAGCCCGGTCGTTCTCGTGTTTAGTCTCACTTTCATAGTTAGCTATCCTAATCTATAGAACATGCTGTTTGACGGCCTACCATGATTCTGGATTGTTCAATCCAACTCCTGTTCATCAGTTTGATAAAACTGACTCATATTAGGTTCGACTTCTATCTCTTCAGCGTGTTTTTGTCTCCTGAATGCCTTTGGAAATGATATTTCTCCATCCTCTTTCAGTTTCCAGGTTAGGATTAGTTAATTGTGATATTGTAGTACGATACATAACACATAGTTCTGCATGATAGCGCTCTGGGGTTAGATTCCCTGAACGTTCACAAGAAGCAGCCCTGATGCTTAGAACATCGATTGCTCGACCGAGTTTGGCGCAGTCTTCATCTGGGAATCTACTATCCAGCAGTTCATTTAGAAGGCTCGATGAGACAATGGCGACTGAAATCGAGAGTTTAAGGTAAGCAGTGTCTTCATTCATCAATTTTGGTATCTGACTCTATGTTTCTCATAAAGTCACATATTACCAGTAACCTTTTGTAACTTCTTTTTGCCTGTGGTTTCAGCTTATCAAGCCTTGAATCAATGAGAAATGTGATGGACCTTGTGAACGAGATGGTGCAAGCCGTCACTACTGCAGATGGCTCAGTAAGTCTGCAAACTCTCGGTCACAAACATCTTCTGCTGCAGTTCCTGATGTATAAATGTTGTTTGGTATCACATTCTCAGGCTCTAAAGGATGAACTGATAGTTGATTTGGTAGACCACTGCCGCTCTAATCAAAAGAAACTAATCCAGATGCTCATGACGACCGTGTTTGTTCCTTAAACTCTTCACTTCCAGTTGATCTTCTCAAAATCTTCGGTTTTAAGTATTCCTTTCATGATGAAAATCTGGCCGCAACAATAAGACATATATCTCTGGCTTTTTCGTTCAGGGATGGGGAGGTCTTGGCACGGGGGTTGGAGTTGAATGACTCTATGCAGGGCGTTCTGGCGAGACATGATGCTATTGCCTCTAGTATCTCTCTTCCTCCCTCACTTGCTGCAACTTCCGAACCAAAATTCACCATCACTGCTGAAAGAACATCGGAGACAAGCCCAGACGCGAAAGCTGGAACTGCTTCTGCGGCCGCCATTGATCCCGAGTCTGTAAGTTCTTCTTCGAGCAGTGAAAGTGAACCTGATGAGGAAGAAGAAGAAGATGATGACTTTGCACAGTTAGCGAAAAGGTTAGGAGATTATAAAAAACGATATTGCGATAGTTCTATTGTCATTATTTTCGAGATCATCTGTTACGCAAACCTCAACTTACTGGTTACCATATCTAAAACATTGTCTAAATTCTGCAGGCACGTGCAAATGTGTGCCGAAGAGACTGAAGAAGAGGCACTACTTCTTCTGGGCAAGAATGATAACACAACAACAGAGCCACAATCATCACAGTGCAAAGATTTAGCTTTAACCAACCAAGAAGTCCCCACGTCAATGACGAAGGCAGAGCAGGACATCATGGAGCTTCTAAGCCTAACAATATCAACCACGGGTCCGCCCTCTACGCAGCCACAAATGAATCAGTCATTGGACCACCAGAGTAGCCATCACAATCAATCTTCCACAGAGCAGATCCTGCTCAATAGCTATGTCGTCCCCTGGGCACAGTCTCGAGCAGAAGATGGTTCACCATCCCAATCGCAACTCCAGCAAAAAGCTCAGCTTCACCCAGAAGGAGGAGGTCACTTTGAATCAGTGACACAATTTTCATACGGGTATCCACCACCGCCGTGGGTGGATGGCCAACGGGTGAGGGAGGGGGAGCAGCAGAAGGTTTTAGACACGCATTTGCAGTACTCTAATTCGTTTGTTGCAAGAGGAATCAGCAAAGAATCGACGAGAGCAGAGACGGGCTCAGTGCAGAAGCCGTACGTTCCTCCTTACAAATTATTTGAAGATCTGAATGTGTTCTGGAATGCAGGAGGAAGCGTTAAGAGTGGCAAATGAGCCAAAGACCACCGACTGTCACGAAGAAGAAATGAAGGGTCAGAGCATCTCATGTTATTCTCCTTTTCCTTTTTAAAAATAGATATTGTATTGAAAATTGAACTCAATAAAATACAGTTGGATCAGAGAAAGTAAACCAAGGAGTTAAAGTAATACTGATTGGGATGTTTTGTGCGCTTTGCGTCATGTTGGTCGAAAATATAAGTAACACAGTATTGCCACGGACGAGATTGTGGCGACACGGATTTCAGAGCACCCGAACTGTCTGTCCGAAGAACCGCGGATTTATGTTTTCCTGACCAGGCAATGTCCAAAGGGGTACGCATTGGACGAAATAAAGTAACTTGGACGTGCCTCGTGCGGTCTACTCGCGTCAGGCGATGAAGCACGTGCACTTTATATTTCCATTTTCTTCTATAAACGTATTAGATTCCGTGTTTCTTTATGTCTTGCTTAGCACGATTAGAACCCATGAAACGCCCAATTGCCGCGTGGATCGGTCCAGAGATCCGTCCATCACGTGACAATATGACCTACTGTGTGACATTCTGCCCTTGTGGAAATTGAATACTTATTGAAAATCCCTCACCATGTGACACTGAGAACGAACATGAAGAGCACAATATGTAATTTCCGTGAAACCAAATTTCCCCCTTTTTTCCC